TTTATTTTTGAATTTTTTGGGAGTAATTCTCATATAGGGCAAAAATCACGTGCTTACATGCCTCTACCGGCCTAGTGTGCCTATCGAACCCGGCTTTACTCATGAGTCCTCGAGAATTTTGACCTCGATCTGCCCTTCGATCGCCTCGAGGCATATTACGCCTCGACGCGTTTCTTCGATCTTCTACATATGGCTGGTATCTTTCTTTGTTTGATCTTAGCTCCCTTTCTGTAAACCTTTGCTCTTTTGTAAAGAGCCTGCTGTGATATACTGAACCCGAGAGGGCTCTTAGTTTATCGTCTTCGACCCTGATCTTTGATTGATACTTGTTGTGCACATCCGCCCAGGTCACGGGGGGATATTCTATCAAATTTTATTTTAGCTGCTTCGAGGCCACCGAGCTTCGTTCGTTCAAGCCTTGAGTGAAGGCATGTACTGCCCAATCAACGGAGACCGGTGATAATTCCATTCACTTCATCTGAAAGCAAGATACAAATTCCCTTAGCATCTCGTTTTCTCTTTGTTTGATTTTGAAGACATCGGACTTCCTGATGGTGACCTTGATGGCACCAGCGTGCGCCCTCACAAAAGAGTCTGCTAACATGGCAAATAAATCCATTGAATTTGGGGGTAGGTTATAATACCACATCACAACCCTCTTTGACAGTGTTTCTCCAAATTTCTTCAACAAGACAGACTCAATTTCGTTGTCCTCCAAGTCGTTCCCTTTTACAACACAAGTATAAGCGGTAGCATGCTCACTGGGGTCCGTGGTCTCGTTATACTTTAGGACATCAGGTATTCTGATTTTCTTCGGGATAGGCTTCGAAGCTGCACTTGATGGGAATGGCCTCTGCACAAACTTCTTTGAATCTATACCCTTCAGAATCGGGGGTGCCCCGAGGATCTAATCGACCCTCGAGTTATAAGTCTCTACTCTTTTATCGTTATCTTCTATCTTCTTTTCTCCTGATTTAATTCTTTTGGTGAGATCCTCGAGCATCTTTATAATAGCGGGGTCTGTTGCTGACCCGTTGTTGCTCGATCTCTCCGGTACCTGCTCAACTCGAGGAGCCGTTTCCGGTGCTTGGGATTTTTTGTTGACTTTTCAGCTGAGCAATATCCACTTCTTGTGCTTGCAACATTTCAAAAATAACTTGGAGGCTGACTCCTCCTTCTTGCACTCCTCGTGCTTCTTGGCCTCCAGCCTGGTCTTCCCTGCATCCGTTCCTTACGGGGTCTGCGCCTACTTCCGTGTTTAGAACATTTTGGGAGCTGATATCAACTGGCTCCACGTTTGGTACTCCCTCAGGGTTTGCAAGTGGTACACCCATCCCTATGCCGCTATTTTCTCCAAGTTCTTCACTATCGTGAAGGGGTACATTTTGTGTGCTAGACATGATTAAGCCTGAAATCAAATAATCTTTGACAAAAAAAAGTGTGAAGAGTAACGTGTGTTATCAGAAAACTAGCACCAAAATACTCACTATTATTTTTGGCTCCACGGTGGGTGCCAGACTGTTTACCTTGAAAAATAGTAACTACAATTATATTTGATTATGTGGTTCTAAAAAAATGTGATCTATTTTAACGCTAGTTGTTAGGCAATAGATGCCAAGTGTAAGTAAAGAAAATAAGAAATTCAAACCAATAGGATCACAAGGCTGGGCCTCGAACTGGCTGGAGCAGAGCCTCGAGGTCTAGATGGGGCTAATAGTAATGAACAATTGATGAAGAATTAATGACAACGAGGGCCTCAAAGATGGCCTTTTGCTATTGATAACGAGCAATAAATAAAGAACAATAAATGAACAATGAATGAATAAGCAATAAATGTGAAGAACAATTATGTTAGCAAAGACCAGAGGATGTTGTATTGTATTCAATATATTGTATAGAAATTCCAATTCTTTTACAAGATGATAAGGGTTACCTTTATATATGAGGGGGAATCCTAACATGGTACATGTCTAATACTAATGAGAAAATGCTACTGGTATAGCTGTATAATGACTTAGTATGGATTAGTACTATTCTTTGCAGACCTGGTTAGTTCTAACCACATGTATTTGGGAATTTTCCCGCCTCTCCATGATGATCACCGATTGTACTGCTCCGAGGTCGACCACAGTGAGCCTTCGATATGCTCCCTCGAGGGACACACCTCGGGGCACGCTCTACTTCGGGCTTTTTCGAGGTTAGGCGTGGGGCGGCATAGTAGTCCCAGAATTGAACTCCCCAATTTTGGCCGTATACATAAACATAACATCTATATCTGATTTGCCAGCATTATTATTGTCACACCTCTTTTTTACAACCTCACTAACCCTCTTAAATAAATAAAAAGATTTGTAAAGCTCAAAAAGGTTTTCAATTATGAAAGTGACAAAGGATTGTGTTTCAAAAGATATTTTAGAGTCGCCACCTGACATTGATTTCGTTGTGCCAGGTCACCGTTTTTAAAAATAATTTTTCCTTTAAAACATTTTGGACTCCAAAACTAAGTCCGCACCAGAGACTTGGGTAAGGGATTCATCTGACTCGGGGAGAAGGTGTTAGGTACTCCCCGAGTCTCGTAACTAGTACGGTTGCGTACATGATCAAGTTGGCTTTTAAAATATTCGAAGTGAGGTAATAATCACATAAATGAGAAAATTAACACATAAGAGGCTCGAGGTCGTCCCCACCTAATAAAGAAAAATAAAACAAGAATAAAACACTACAAGTTCTACTTTTAGCCTCCAATTATAGAATACTACGGGGCATTCCCCGGAATAAAATATATACAAATCCTTTGGGGCATTCCCCGGATGAATTTAACTAAAGGAACTACCTCTCACCTTAAAACTAACAAAAATCCTAAAGTTTGCCTACCCAGGTGATGACGGACCTAAGCATACTACTGTCGACTCAATAGAATATAATAATAACAATTGAAATCATACGAAGCCCAAATACCATGAAGTTTAATCCCTAACAAACCACATGGCTCAAACCCTTTTTTCAATTTCCAGTACCCCAAATCCCAAGGCCCCTTTAACTTGTTAACTGTTCAACCATCTTAATTGCTTATTAAGTAAATCCATTCTTGACATCAAATAGATTAAGCAGAGAAGACAAATCATCCATTAATCTATAACAAGACAAAATAACAGAGAGTTTCATAAATCAAATTCACTATCAAATAAAGCAATTAAAAGATTTCAAGTAGAGAAGCGTGAACGGACCTTTGATGTCTAACTCGACAAGCATGAGCCTACAATTGGAGACGGCAAATCGCGAATGGACACCTCAATCGGAAAACCTTACTGCCTCGATCACGCCTCCAATTTCGCCGCAATACTCCACTTATACAATCCACTCCCTTGTGTTAAAGCCACAAACTATCATCTCTTGATTTGTTGTTTTGCTCAAACATGGGAACAACAATGTAACCCCGCAACGATGTACTCCTAATTTTCTTTTGGAGTGTACTGGTCTTTCTATGAAGAAAAAGTATGGTCACAAGCACTTTTTGGTAACAAATAAAATTGTTATTTGTGGCGAATTGGATATGTGTCTAGGGTTCTTGGTTTTGTCTCTTTGTTGGAGGAAAATCAGTGTTTCAAGTTAAGGAATGAAGATTGATTTTTGGGAAAGCTGTGTGCGGCAATTAGAGTTTTAGGGGTGGGCGACTCGTTGTTGAAGATTGTTGTCGGGCGTTCGGCGAGCTTGGTGGCGTGTGGCTGGCGGCTGAAGGGTGGTGTGGAAGGCTGGTTTTTAGACTGAAGGGGGAGGGGTCGGTGGGTTGGGGCTGCGGCTCTAAGGGTCCAGGGGTGTTCTCTAGGGTTAGGTTTCAGGTTGTAATTAGGTAGATATATGTGGGTGGGGATTAGTTTTGACCATTGGATGAAATGGAGTGAATGGCCAGGATTAAATTAAAAAGAGCTGATGGGTTAAAGGGTCTTGGGCTTAATATTTGGGTCTTAAAATTGGACTAAAAGAAAAATGTCCAAACCTTAGCTAAATACCTTTTAATAAAGCTAAATATACTACATATTGCAAAAATCTATCTAACTAATTAAACTAAATTATATATAAAATATGAAACTATTTTTATATTTTTCAAATGTCAAACTAAAATAATAACAAGATTAGATTAAAATTATCGCAAAATCAAGATAATACTACTATCCAAAATACTAATATCCTTGAAATAAAGTGTAACTATTTTTTGTATTTTTGAATTTTATGTAAGGTAGATAAACTAAAAGTAACAAGACAAATATCAATAACCTAAATAAAAGAAAATATTTTTGTAATTTTTATTTTTGTGACAAAATAAAGTAAAATAGTTAAAACTAGGTAAAATAGCGATATTAAGCCTAAACTAAATATCTAAAAGCTAAAATGAGTAAAAACTCGGGAAGGATAAAAAATTACATGTCTACAATTATCAATATTTTAAATAAGTAGTACTAATTTTTTAATTATTTACCGACCAAACATCGAAAACAAATAACTAATGTTTCGAAAAAGTACATTTCCAAAATATTCATGACAAAAGTATCGTGTCAAAAGTTCACTTTGATTTAGATTCCAATCCTTGTAATTCTTACAGTATATTCGCATACTTGTCCCCATTTCAAACTTTACTCTATAGACCGGAGAAAAAAATATAAAGATTTCACAATCTTGTATTCAATGTATGCTTGCAAAAAATATAGAGTCAATTGAATTTTGTTTTTAGCTGTAGTAAACATGTGGATGCCTGACCAAATTAGTCTAAGCAAATATTCCGAACTTATCTCCATACTGATAGTTTAGTGAACGGGATGGGATAGGAGTGAGAAAAAGGAAAAAAAACTTTCTCATACAAGTAGGACACCAACTCAATAAAAAAGCAGCCTGGTGCACAACGCATTTCGCGTTCACGTAAGGTTCCGGGAAGGTCACACTCAAGGGATGTGACGCAGATAATCTACCCCTAATGCAAGCACTAGCTACTGCTTCCACGGATTTGAGTCGTGGAATCAGCTACTAATACTTCATTAGAATAAGTTGTTTACATTATATTACTTAAAGTGTGACCCTTCCTAAAATCTTGCATAAATACCGAATGTTTCATGCACTGGACTGCCTTTCTTTTTTTGGTTTTCTTTTCTAAATAGGAAGCTAAAGTAAGACACATGAACGGAAGCTGTACAAAACAAAGATGATGGACCTATATTTGACTATCATGAGCTGAGAAGAGGACAATAAATGTACATATGCATGTGCGCCTAAATTTCAAGATTGTAAAAGGAAAAACGTATAGAACTTGCCCACTGAAACATAGATTCAAGTAACTTGCTATAAAGAGAAAAGATCCAAACAAATTTAGTACTACTTACTAACAACTTCTCCAAAAAAGTTGGAAATTTAATATTTCCCTATTTTATCGTCATACCTAATAGACCTAACCATCATTGGGTTTTAATGAAAGGAAAAGAAGCAAGAAACTCTCATTTTCTTTGTGTTTCTTTGTGCCATATATACCTATTCATGGCTCTTTGAGTTCCAATTTGGATGGTTGTTACAAATTATTTTATAATGTATGTTATTGTATTGTATTGTATCATATCGTATCATATTGTATTGTACTGTACTGTACTGTATTGTATCGTATTGTATTGTATTGTATCGTACTGTATTGTATTGGATTGGATAATAAATATAACGTGTGAATAATTTGTATCGTTTGTCGTTTCATGAGGTCATGCACCAACAATATCAAGAGTAAATTTATAATATTACAAAAAAAAATAAAGTATAGGATAATATTATTATATAAAAAGGTTAGGTAAAGGATAAAATAAAATATTAATAATAAGGAATGGAAAGATGAGAGAAAAAATAAGGTAACGACGGGATCACGCCAAATCTTTACATAAAATTGCACATTTCATTATTAAATAACGACGGGTTTAACAATACGATACAATAAAATTTAAGTAATAATCAAAACAAATATTGCATTTAAAACAATAATACGATATAATACGATAAGTAACAACCATCCAGACCAGCTTAGGTGCTAAATTATTTATCTGGTGAAGAAGAGTAATTTATCGAGTTTGACTTTAGTAAGGTAAATCGTAGGTCCGATGATCATAACTGGAATATTCGGGAATGACATGACATAGTCGTCGCATTTTTGCTAATTGACATGCCTATTTGGCTCTGTGATTATCGCTGAAAATTTCAGTTATTTTTAAATGACAAAAATCATGTCAATAGGTTTACTGCAAAAAATAGTAAATTGAATGGCCAGCTGACAACTTAAAGCCAAAGAGACCCCTAAAACCTCTTTTAGGATGGTTAGTTATGAAAGTACCAGAGGGGTGAATTGTAACCAGATTAAAAACTTAGTCTACTTAAAAAGGAATTAGTCGATTAAACTTTTCCAGCAGGTTCGATTTGCTAAATTGTGCAGAATTACAATAGTAAAGGCACATGAATTTTATATTGATTCAGTATCGATGTGGCGCCTACATCCAATTCCCTTGTGTCACAAAAGTTCTCTTAGATCTTAAATAAGTCGTTAAAACAGTAGTGGCTTCATTTGAAATAATTCATAGTCACGAATCAGGAGATTTATTCTTGTTTCCTTCACTTTGTTTGTTTCTACATATGTGACTTCTAACTTGTCCCACATTTTTTTTTGCAGTTTCACAGCTTGATATCTTTTCATACTCTTCACTGCCTATGGCGTTGTAGAGAAGATTCTTAGCATTCGCTTGAATAACGACTGCTTGTTCTTCATTGTAATCATTTAAGTCAAGAAGATTAGATGATACTATGAACTCACTGTCTTTATCTTTCTTGGTGGAATTGGAAGATTTCCCTTTTTTGATCACACGCCATACTTTAATATCGTATGACATCGTATAGGTTTCCATACACATTTTCCAGTGTGAGAAGTGCTGGCCATTAAAGTAGGGTGGTCTTACTTGAGAGGTTACTTCTTGGAATAGTGCTCTAACGACTGTGTTTGACACGATGATCTTTTCCTCACTTGCTGTTAGGCAATACTTGTGAGTCCTTGCTCTGATACCAATTGAAAGTACAAGAGTAGAGGAGGAGAGGTGAATTGTAGCCAAATTAAAAACTTAGTTGATTAAGAAAGGAATTAGTCAACTAAAGTTTTCCAGCAGGTTCCGTTTGCAGCAGAAGTAAATTGTGCAGAATTAAAATAGTAAAGGTACAAGAATTTTATACTGGTTCAGTGCTGGCGTGGTACCTACATCCAGTTCCCTTGGGTCACAGGGTTTCTCTTAAATCTTCAATAAGTCGTTACATCAGTAGTGGTTTTAGTTCGTTCACCACCAACGATATTCAGCAATATTGTTTGTCTAAACTTGACGCAACTCTTGTTTTGTTTTCTAACTCTTCCTATCTTTTATGACACTTGTAAACTCAAGAATATAATGTTTGTACTAAGAACTAGAAAGATATAGAAACAGGTGTTAAGTTGCGTGGCTTCTTCTTCTATCTTCCAGCATTCTTATACGAGAGTCTTGAGATCTTGTAATCTTCTTTTTGAGCTAGCCATTGCAGATTGACCATTGATTGAGGCAAGAATATTTTAAGATATTTGACCCAAGGGTTTCCTCGAATCCTGCTTACAAGATAGGCAGAATTCAATGATCTCTTTCCTTTTCGCGTTCCTGATTAAAGGAGTGATTTGTGTCTTGGCTTGATTGATCAATCACCAGATTCTTCTGATTTCTTTACCATAATTCTCCTTAGTTTACGAATTGGCTTCCCATATCAGCTACACTTGATCTTATTTCCTTTTTGATAGAATTTTCATCCTGATTTCCTTTGGTTCCCCCTGATTTACCATTGTCATCCTGATTTCCTGCAGTAAAGTAGATTAGATTAGATTTGCACCGTTGTTATCATTAAATCTTAGGTGTAACAAATTATTACTATTGTTTTCACTTATAAGTTTAACTCCAGGTAAATCATTGAGATTTGAGGCAGAATATGATCTAACTCTATTAAGAGAACAATCTAAGCTTTATCCAACCAATGGAAACCTCAATTTTGTAATCAAAGTGTACATAACTTGTAACATAGCCCCCTTCTCTATTTTTAGATGACTAGTTTCTCGGCACTTGCATTGCACGTGTATATCAATTCATATAGTACATTATTTTTACTGTAATATCATAAACAACATAACAATAGACGTGTATCCTTTCATTAAAGGATATGTATGATTACTCGACTATTCATTCAAATAATAATTATTTTCTGCATCGAAATTGAATGTTCTCTTTCGCTCATTTGAGTCCTTTGTTTGCATTTTTAGTAAATCTTTTGGGCAAATTAACCAACGTGAGCTTACAGATTTGCCAACCATTGTGACTCAAATGGACAGCTTTTCATATTTTTTTTATAAATAAGAGACATAGATTAGGGATGTGCATTCAATTTATCGATTCGATTTTGACCCTTATTGATAATTACTTATCGATTATCGATTTGTACATATGCTTATCGTTATCGTTTCAATAAGATTTCGATTTTTTCGATTTCGATTTATCGATTTTTGGGGCTTATCGATTCGGTTATCGATTACACCAATAAAAAAATTTACGGGATTCCACGGAAAGTATATCGCTACAAACACACCTAACTAATATGGACAAAAGGAAGCTAAAATAAGAAGAGCACCGTTTATAACATAAAAATTGTGTCAACAAGCACATGCAACGAAACTAAAGTAAGGGATCAAATGTATGCCACCAACACTCCAACGGTATAAACAAACAAAAAATCAAAATACATCAT